CGAAAAAGGTAAAGTTTAAAATATAAAATAAAATACTTCTTAAGTATTTAAGCAGGTAAAATTTAAAAAAATAGCTGATCAATTCAACAACAAAGTTGAAAGGTCAACAAACTATTTGCTTGTGAGAAATTATATTACAATAAATATCCTTCTCTTTAATCTAAGGGTAAGAGCGAGATACAAAATATTTCAATAAAATGGTTAATTGTGACAAAGTGTTTAAAATCGAATGTTTTTTGCCGAAGTACAAAAAAACGCACACTTGCAAGCTAACTTGAACAACCGAATAAACTAACGCGCGAAATTTAAACAGAAAATTTTTGAAAACTCGAAAATATACTTTTACCCGAATATTTCAAAACGCCAAAAGGGCCGTAGATCCGGCTCGAAGGACCATTAATGTTTGAACATTACGAAACGAAGTGGACTGTATGTAATTGGTAAAATGAGGAGTCTGTGTACTTACGATTTTTGATGCTGTTCTTCCTGGGTAGCTACCCTGTTCTCATGATGGTATGCAGCACACAGACTGGGATGGGTTTTATTTTAGGTAAAACTCCACGAACACGACAAATTAAACATTATAATTATTCTTAAAACAAACGAAATATTTTAATTATTACGACGATCCGAACTCTCTGCGATATTCTTTCTTCCTCCGCGCTTTACAAAACAAAAAACCCGTAAAAAAACTTAAACCAATTGCCAACTTATAAGCAATTTAAATTAAATTGTTAAATTTTTGTAACATAAGTGCTCCGCTACTTAAAATGGATATATTGCTGAATGATTTCAATTTTAATATTACTTTTGGATATATTCGGAGGAATAAACTCTATTTCTATTTAAACACAATATTTATAAAAAAAAACAATAAGCAAATAACAAAAAATAAAACAAACCAAAAAGTTATTACTTCTACTTAAAAAAGGAGAAATCAGAAGGAAATTTAGCCGTTCTTTTTTTGTTTGTGTATTCTTATAAAAATGTATACCTTAAAAACCATTATGTTTTAAATTCCATATTTTGTTGATTTAGAAATATTTTACATTACAAAAATTGAAATTTAGTTACGTTTTAGTAAAGTATTTCTATATCAATCTCAAGCTTTCTGTCCATAACTTTAAAATCAATAGTTTAAACTGAATATGCCGTCGACAGTGCATGGTAGACACATCAGTCATAGGTTACATGGAAAGGGCATTTAATTCCAAGAAAACGACAAAAAGTTATAGAGGTTTTAATAAAAACGGAGCACTCAGTGCACCTGCGCGACTAGTTAAGGGTTAAGCGCGATATTTAAATTAAATAAAATTAAGAAACTGTAGTTTCTAAAAATAAACCCAAAATAATTTATAATAAAACAAAACAACGAATACTTAACATGCCCCATATTCGGTTGTGCATATCGACAACTACTACTCAGTTACCAACTTACGAGGACGTAATAAAATGTTTTCAATGTATTCGTCTTGAATTAAAAGGAAGGGGTAGTAAAGAAACTACCTCAGCAAGTATTGCAGATAAGGTTGCACTTAAAGTTGAACAGGTTTGGGATCGTGCATCAATTCCTGTTTTGTCCTATCAGAGAATTGTTAAAACTTATTTTGGATTTTAACATAAAATATCAAAATATATTAAAGCCGTCCAAAAGTAGAAAATCACAGGCACTCCAAAATAAAATTATAGCATTTGGAAATGGTTCAAAGCGCTTATTTAATGTTTGCGCTTGTAAGTGTTTAAGTATTGAGGTATGTTGCTGTGATAAGGCTTTAAAAATTCCCAACATTGAATGGTACTTTATAACCGATCAAAGGAATGATAGATTAATTCTAATATCAGGCGTGGATAAAGTTGTTATGAAACAGCTTGAAAAAATAAATTGAAAGAAGAGATAAAGAAGATAAGAAAATAATTGCTGTCCAAGAAGGGGTGCCAAGTACTAGTGGAACCAGTACTTTCGAGATATCCACGCTTAAGTTACGTTTCATATGAAAATAGCAGTGATGACGAGTTTAAATGGCACATATCGTTAATAAAAGAACCTAATAGCATTTACTTCGGGCATTTATCCTTGCAGCCTCCAGTTTGCTCAAAAGACATTAAAACTCATATACTTTAGTATCTAGATAATAAAAGAATAAATCCTATGGATTTGTAAGTTATTGGGTGTGACGGTACCAATGTAATACCTCCTCTATTAGGCTAATCGAAGTCAGTATATCTAAACCCCTTCAATGGAGTATTTATACTAACCCGTAACCGGTACTGTGGTGTCTGGTTTTAAAAATCTGTCGCTTCCAATACTTTTAAGTTGAGCAGTTCTCAATATGCTCTCAGACTTTGAACAAGTTGGATTGTCAAACGGACAAATTATTACAAGTCAAAGTGTTGAGGTGTCTAGTAGACCACTGTGTACCGTTTACGTAATTTTTATAAAACAATTAATACGTTATGGATTCGCAACAAGGGCCTTCTAAAAGTGTCCAAAGTGATAAAAAGGGCTTCAAGGAAACTGTAATGTAGTGGTTTTATGAAATCTACAGCGATATAAGTGATATAGATGACTGTAGTATACTACATAACCATTATAGTGATTATGTCGTTGAAGATAATCACAGCAGCGATTCAGGACTTGTCTATGAACTTCACAGTTTGAAGAGTCTGTAGAAAATAATTTTATAGGGTCAAATAGTGAAGAATTTAAAATTTTTAAGAATTTGAAAAAAAAACAAAAAGTTACTATGGTAAAAATTATTGTAAAAATCAGCTATAGTTTAAAGCAGTTATTTTTGCTGTTAAAAAAAGATATATTTGAATTTTTTTTGTTTATGTTATTTTTTAAGGTATATTCTTCGAAATAAAGATCGTTTTATTTTGTTTGGTTTAATATCTTTTATAGTTTAATCACAAAGTTTGCACTACTGCACTTTTTGTACATGTTTTGATTAAAACCTATTTGTTTAAATTTTTCTTTTATTTAGGTATTATTTTTGGTGATATTCTAACTTTATATATAGTTCCTAGTATCCCCAAAGCCTCAGATAAAAAAAATAATATAAATTATAATTTTAAAATCAGGTGTCTCTCAGACCCCTTAGTACCGTTTATGACCCGAAAGTCGTACAGTACCGGTTACGGGCTAATGAACTGCCTCTACCACTTGCTGCAAAATTTAGATGGCCATACAAAAGCACCATATGTCTACTCTGGGTCTATTGGCTTACATTTGCAAAATTGTGAAAATTTGCCAGTTGTGGCTTTTATAAGAATTTATTGTGAACTACCGGAGGTAACATTTAAGGATTTAAGTACAGATCCGAGATATTTATATGAGATATGTTATGCAATTATTGATGGTAAATGTAGTAAACTAGCAAAAAAAATCCCGGAAAACTGTCTCATTCGCGGTGGCTAATAACAGCCAACAGAGTTTTACGTTTATATCTATCCATCTGAAAATCTATGGATTTTAACTACCTTAATTTAAAAAGTATATGCTTCCACATGGTTTCAACTTAAAACCAAGCCCATATTAAAGCATGAAGCAGTGCCTTTTTGGAAAGCTATTGCGTCATAACTGAGCCTCCCATTTCTATGAAATTTAGTGATAGTGATTTACAAAATATTATAATTGATAAAACTATACCCGATTTTGAAAAGTTTCCTTGCCATACACAATCTGTTGAGCGGTGTGAAAAACTCGTTACTGAGACTTCTTAAAAGGTGTGTGGTGAGACATCAAGGGATGGGTATATAAGAGCAAAACTTGAAGCTTGAACAAAGGCCAATATTTCTAATACCAGTGTGTACCCTTAATTTACTAAGGGTGGGATGGTGGTTGGAACTCCAGGTGCAGATACCTCCTTGTGGTGAGTTCTGGGTAAATTTGATGTTTAGAAATATATTAGTTACTGTAAAAATATCAAAATGACATTATAATTACTTTTCAATTTTCATAGCCAGTGGGGCCCGGTTAAATATTTTTCAAATTATTTAAAATGTATAGAGAATAAGATTCGACATAAGAAAGGTCACAAAATTACTAAACTGTTACTTTTTTTTATTTACGTTTTGCCCTTCTTTTGAGACCCTGGTGCCCGGTAAAAAATCGGAGTACAGGCCTGTTTTTTTGCTAATAATGTAAGGTAATAATACAACTTTTCCATGTTCAAGGTGTTTTAAAATTCGTAAAAAAGTTTTTTTCGACCTGTTTTGGACCTCCCTAGTGGGCATCGAACATTTGAAAACATTGCCCAAATATGAAGCACCCTAATCTAGACATACAAATACACATTAAACAAGAAAAACACAAACATACCAGAAAATACTAACCAGAGAACTAACTTCTCCTTATTTTAATATTGCCAAACGCAATACTAGACAATTCCTATATTAACAGCCGTAACCACCATTATACAGGGTGTCCCGAAATTGGCCCTAAGGGTAATGGTTAAATTCCAAGAAGAATTTTTCTTTGCCCTTTTTTGCAATTTGCGAGATTGCAGAAGTTATACAATACTTAAAGCCTTCAATAAGAGCCTAGTATTTATGCCCTATCGGATGAGCTTTTGTTATTTTTTAGACGTGGATATTTTATTAACGGGAAAAAGTAAACAAAAACAAATTCAGTGGATGTTGTCGCAAGCAAAAGGCGGGACTTGTCCGATAGAGCAAAAACACTTGCAGTGCACACTTTAATTTGTGGCCAAAAATTAAATAACTCCTGCAATTTCGTGAATAAGAAAAATTAATCTTGTAATTTTAAAAAAGTAGTAGTTCTAAGTGCGGGAAGGCTTGAGTCCTGACGAGTAGGCTCAAATGGCCCTTTTAATTATCCCCGATTACTGCCTCTTGATTATGCTTATTATACGTTTTTGCACTAATATAGCTAGTTCGGATCGACTCCACTAGCCCAGGGGAGCGTGGAATCCGAACAAAAAATATATTAAGATGCGGTTTTACGGCCAAGCCATAGGATTTCATTAAAATGTTAAAAATCATACAGGCAAGTTCCAATAAGTTTCACCGTTTTCAACCTAAAAGTGAAAAATTAATGGGACACCTTGTATAATATTACTATGTATTTTTTACCATAAAAGTAATTATGCAATAATATACATGTATGGAAAATAACAATAAAATATTTTTACACTCCAGTTCTAAAAACTGACGTACGTGCAGCGTGGGTAAAGGTTCTAGTCACCAGCGCACTGTATAAACAAGTACTTGTCTCGTACTTAGACCATGTGCTATATACCTTTATGAAAATAGTGTTTTTTTTACAATTCAAATATAAAGATTTTTTTATATAATATATATATATATATATATATATATATATATATATATATATATATATATATATATATATATATATATATTATATAATATTTCCAACTAAGGCTCTCATAATCCAAAAAGATCATTTGTCAATTTTTTTGATATAAGTATAGTATATATATCCAATTATTCTCAATTAAAATTTATTCATTAATTTTAGCTATGAACACTTTCGTTTCAGTTTACATGTAACTATTTAAGTGAAATTTCAAACTTATTTACTTACTTTCCTTGTGTATTTTCTCAAAGTTCAATTTTCTTACAGGTCTCTTCATATTTAAGTTAGGGAAGATTCACCGTATTTAAATGCAGTATGTTTTAAAATTAAAATAGAAAAAATAAATGTTATTAAAAAACCCCATTAAAACATATATTAATATTATTATATAGTTTTTAGGTAAATATAATTGAATGGGACTTATTATTACCTCTATTGGGTCAATTTTTAATTCCATCTCAACCTCTTGTTCTCGAATTTTTTTTAATGTCTCCATTATTAAACGAACATCGTCTAAATCTCTAATGGTGCGATCCAATTTTCTTTCCATTTCATTAATTACAGCATACACATAATCCATTTCTCTCTTGTATTTTTTTTTCATAGCTTGGCCAATTCTATAATAAAAATAGAATAATGCTATATTATAATAGTAGTATGCCATTATAAAAAAAATGTTTTTATAGTGCAGGCGCTTTTTTAAAATAGGGTTTTTTCAAACTGTTTTAAATTATAGATTAACTCTTCGGTCTGTACCATTTTTAACATGGTTTAAAACACGATTATAATTAACAAATCCAACATTCAAATCCATATTGAATACGCCATATACAGCAAAAATTAAAATAGAATAAATTAAAATGTTTCGGGACCTACGTTCAACCTGCCATCTCTTTTCCAAGCGGGTAATAATGATAATAATTATGAGATGACGTACGTCTTATTTAGTGTTTTCCCAAACTCGGCTGTCTACCGAGAACTTAGTTTGCCGGGCACCAACGCGTTGGTTGCAACGGCTGGTGACGAGCCCAATTTGCAATTTCTTGGTACACTGGATGTGGAAGTGGCTATACCCAGTAGGCGTTTACGCGGGGCGCTTAAAATATTATCGGTATCGGTACTAAATTCTAATATAAAAAGAATAGTTAATTTTTAGTAAGATGTCATTGACCCAATAACCTAAAGAAGCAAAAGCCATGATTTTGGGTTTAACCTTTAATGCTTTTACCGATGACATTTTTTAAAATAAACCCAAAATTATTACATAATTTGATATAAAGAAATTGTTTGTATAAAATCTGCCAAATCTAAATCCAAAATTCATTCATTCATTTCACCTAAGCAGATGGTAGGATAAATGCAGAACCCGTATAAATTAAAAAAAAGATTATTTAGGTTTAATTTTAATTTAATTTAGTTACTCTTATGAGGCATATTACAAAATAAAACTAGTTTTGTTAAATTAATAAACATTTTAAAGATTACCTGTATGAGCATAATTTAATTTCAGTGGTTAGTCCAAATTTAAGATTTTCCGTGGAAATAGCTAAACAGTTAGCAATTACAAACACTTTAGGCTCCATTACTGTTTTATCATTTAATTCTTCATGTTTTCGTAAAGATGTTTCGAATTCCAATAATTGGGCGTTAAGCAACTCTCTGGTAGATTTTTCATTTTTCCATAAAATATTATAAGGCCTCCATTTAATTAAATAATGGTTAATATCCTAAAAAGATATTGCAATTGTTAATATTTTTTTAATTTTTATAAAAATAAATTTAATTTTAATGCTTTTTAATCATTTTTATAGGCTGTAGAGAGGTGAAAATATCACAGTTAAACGGTCGGACAAGTTAATTGATCAAAAGGAACACGTGTCCCTTCAAAGGTTTTTGCTATTTTTTTTTATTGAGTATAGTTGAGGATATTATATTAATTGAAATAAAAAGCATAAGAATGTTGGCACAAGAGGTGAAATATATTATTTTACAAATTATAATATACCAGTATAGAGTGTGTCCCCGAATCGGATTTCCCACAGGAAAAACTTTTTTAGACCTGATACAACTAAACCGAGCACATATTTGAAATCTACGAAACATTATGTTTACGTGTCCGAGCGTTCAGCTGTGATATTTCAAAAGTTGAAAATTTACCTATATTGTTATTAATATGAAGAAGGTATTTAACAAACCCATTTTTGTAACATTTTTATAAACTTTTCGTATACTATTAAAGGCCTTTTTAAAACAGAAATAGTAAAAAAATACGATGACCTTATAAATAAATGTGCTTCCGTAACGAGTTTAGTCATAAAACATAATAAAAACAAAAATAGCTTAAAACATTTTTTTATTTTTTTTATTAATATTTTGCAAGGAATTGTCAAAGAATTTTGCGGTTATATATAATTTAAAAAAATCCTAGAACTTCTTTGTAAAGCAGGGTCTTAGGTCTCAGGGCATTATCCCAATATGATTAATCTGAAATTATATAAACACGACAGCGGTAAAAGTAAAAATCAGGTTATCAAATTTATCAAAATGATCGAGATGCAAGACGCAAGAAGTATTTTTTTCTCTTTCAGTAAACAAATTTATTTCACTGGCAATAAATATGCATTGACATAGCATTTTGCCCACAGGCTGAAGCTTTAAATTAAAATTGAAATAAAGTGACAAATGTCTAATGTTAGATAAAATATAAAATGAAATTTGCTTTAAATTTCTTGCCCCATAATTGTTTTGGTTCTCTAATTGTTTATGATTCGTTTTTACACTGTATTTCTTGCGGTAGTTAAGTAAAACATTGTGTGCGACTATTGATCGCGTGTTACGGCACTTGCTATGCTCGTCACGCTCGAGGAAGTTGTGTGCAAATTCGGCCATCCGTAAGTAAGAGGCCTTTACCCTGAAACTTTAAAAAGCACCTCATTTTTATTTTATTATATTTTCTTGTAGGATTCCGAATTATTTAATAAATAATTTGTTGAGATTAAAAATTGGCTAATAATTATTAATAGCTAAAAAAAATAATTTTTAATTTACAGTAGTTTAAGAGTTTAAAAGTTTAAAAGTTTAAAAGTTTAAAAGTTTAAAAGTTTAAAAGTTTAAAAGTTTAAAAGTTTAAAAGTTTAAAAGTTTAAAAGTTTAAAAGTTTAAAAGTTTAAAAGTTTAAAAGTTTAAAAGTTTAAAAGTTTAAAAGTTTAAAAGTTTAAAAGTTTAAAAGTTTAAAAGTTTAAAAGTTTAAAAGTTTAAAAGTTTAAAAGTTTAAAAGTTTAAAAGTTTAAAAGTTTAAAAGTTTAAAAGTTTAAAAGTTTAAAAGTTTAAAAGTTTAAAAGTTATAAAGTTTAAAAGTTTAAAAGTTTAAAAGTTTAAAAGTTTAAAAGTTTAAAAGTTTAAAAGTTTAAAAGTTTAAAAGTTTAAAAGTTTAAAAGTTTAAAAGTTTAAAAGTTTAAAAGTTTAAAAGTTTAAAAGTTTAAAAGTTTAAAAGTTTAAAAGTTTAAAAGTTTAAAAGTTTAAAAGTTTAAAAGTTTAAAAGTTTAAAAGTTTAAAAGTTTAAAAGTTTAAAAGTTTAAAAGTTTAAAAGTTTAAAAGTTTAAAAGTTTAAAAGTTTAAAAGTTTAAAAGTTTAAAAGTTTAAAAGTTTAAAAGTTTAAAAGTTTAAAAGTTTAAAAGTTTAAAAGTTTAAAAGTTTAAAAGTTTAAAAGTTTAAAAGTTTAAAAGTTTAAAAGTTTAAAAGTTTAAAAGTTTAAAAGTTTAAAAGTTTAAAAGTTTAAAAGTTTAAAAGTTTAAAAGTTTAAAAGTTTAAAAGTTTAAAAGTTTAAAAGTTTAAAAGTTTAAAAGTTTAAAAGTTTAAAAGTTTAAAAGTTTAAAAGTTTAAAAGTTTAAAAGTTTAAAAGTTTAAAAGTTTAAAAGTTTAAAAGTTTAAAAGTTTAAAAGTTTAAAAGTTTAAAAGTTTAAAAGTTTAAAAGTTTAAAAGTTTAAAAGTTTAAAAGCTTAAAAGTTTAAAAGTTTAAAAGAAGTTTAAAAGTTTAAAATTTTAAAAGTTTAAAAGTTTCAAAGTTTCAAAGATGAAAAGATAAAAAGTTGAATAGTTGAATAGTTGAACAGTTGAATAGTTGAACAGTTGAACAGTTAAACAGTTGGAAAGTTGAAAAGTAAGTTTTAAAAAGTTGAATAGTTGAACAGTTTAACAGTTGGAAAGTTGAAAAATTAGTGTTAAAAAGTTGAGAAGTTGAAAATAATAAAAATTTAAGGGTTAAAGGAGCTGTTTATTAACCGTAACAAAGTATTGCAAATTCTACTAGAAAATGTAATTTTAATTTTAATGCTTTTCAATCATTTTTATAGGCTGTAGGCAAGTGAAAATATCACAGTTAACCGCTCGGACACGTAAACTTAATTTTTGGTCGTAGATTACAAATCCATGCTTGGTTTAGTTGTATCCGGTCAAAATTCAAAGATATTGGAAACACCCTGTATAAATTTAAACACCCTATAAAATAAAAATAAAAACAATTTGGCTGGACCTCACACCCAAATTTAGAAAAGTTAATTGATCAAAAGGAACACGTTTCCCTGAGGGTTTTTTATAAACAAAAAGTTGAGAAGTTGAAAATATTAAAAATTTAAGGGTTAAAAGAGCTGTTTATTAACCGTAACAAAGTATTGAAAATTCGACAAGAAAATGTAATATACTGCGTGTTATTAGAAATTTTAGTGGAAGAGCAGAAGTATTTAAAGAATTTTTTTAAACATATTTTTTAATATTATTTAAAAGCACTGAAATAACCCAGATTGGTAAAATCAGTTAGAAACTCTGGTAGAACTTTTTAAAATTTATTAATTTAGTAAAAATGTAAGTATTAATAAACTATTAATAACTAACCTGCTTCATATTTAAAGTACACGTAGACAATAATGATAGCATTTTAATAATTTCCTTATTTTCCATAACGTGGCTATAGAAATTCTTGTTTTGAAATGGAAACAATAAATTTTCTTCAGTGGCAAGTCTGTACAGTTTTCTTCTTCGTATACGGAATTCTTCCTCTTTGGATTTAATGTTTCCTCTAGATGGTTTCTGATCAAAACGGGAACGATTTACAATATCCATTAAATTTGAGGAGGCGCCAGTAAGCTTTTTCCAATACTTTTTCTTGTTTAACGGTGTCTGCACAAAATGCCAAGCAGCAAGCCGAGTGTTAAGGGATAGTATAGTGTAGTTTAGTGTAGGTAGGTAGGATGCAAGTTGTGATATTAAAGCAGTGTAGAAATTGCGTTGTGAATTAAAGAATATTTATATTGAAAAACGTATAGGTTATGAAAAATTAGTAGTGATATTAAAGTAGTGATGTGAAAGTATTTACATTGTTGTAATAAACAAAATAAAATAAATTATTTTAAATTTTAATTTCACTGCATTTATAGAAATATTCACTTTTTATACAGAAAAAAACAAATTTAAATGTATTTACATAAATAAAAATTTGTAAATAATATTTGTTTAATTAAAATATAATATTTTTGGTTTACCTTATTTGAAAAAAAATATAAATAAAATTAATCCATCCAAGCACAGTTATTTACAAGGGATTAGTGGAGTCCTTAATATTTTAATACTTTTAATACTAGTATTTTTATAGATCTGTTTATTTATTTTCTAGTTCTTAAACTGTTTCGATAAAACAGTATAACATGCAAATAAATAAATCTTGATCTTTTTTTTATTTTTGTAGCTACTAAATCTGTACTACATAAGGTAAACCAAAGATCATCTTAAAAACAGCCAATTAGACTTTTTCCATTGTCAACTAAGTTATTTTAAAGTTAAATGGTCATTTACTAAATTTTAAACACAGCGCCGTCTGAAATTTAAAATGGCTTAAAGTTAGTTAATAAATTCTATGGTTTACATTGATAGTATATCTTTAAAAAGTTTATTTTATAGACCAATGTATAACAAATATTACTTAGATTATAATAACAAAGAATATACAAATTAAGCTTTAATTGTTTTTTTAATGGTTAATTAGATTTTAGACATTTTTATTAAATTTTAAAAATTTGTCTTTAGTAATGATCTATTAAAATATGTATTACAAAATGTTATAACCGACAAAATTGTATATTCTTATTAGAATCCAACACAGCGCCGTCTGAAATTTAAAATGGCTTAAAGTTAGTTAATAAATTCTATGGTTTACATTGATAGTATATCTTTAAAAAGTTTATTTTATAGACCAATGTATAACAAATATTACTTAGATTATAATAACAAAGAATATACAAATTAAGCTTTAATTGTTTTTTTAATGGTTAATTAGATTTTAGACATTTTTATTAAATTTTAAAAATTTGTCTTTAGTAATGATCTATTAAAATATGTATTACAAAATGTTATAACCGACAAAATTGTATATTCTTATTAGAATCCAAATAATAATAATTATGAAAATTTCATTATTATTCGAATTTTTTAATTTATTTATTACAGATAATTACTTTTAATAATCTAAACAAAAATTAACCTTAAAAATATGTTTTAACCATATATCTAAATAACTAACTGTTTATTGACTAAAAAGTTTTGTCCAATGTAATATTATTATTTATTAACGTTATTAATATAATAAAAAAAAACTTAAAAATTTTTAATAAATATTTTTTATTAGCATAAAATAGTTTAGTTATAAGTTTAAAATAACACCGGCACACAAAAACATGACACATGTGTGATCCTATTCGTTGTGAAGTATCTAAAGACCTGAAGATATTAAATATTAAAATTACCGTAACCTCCATTACTAGAATTTTTTTTTAACAAATAAAGGTTTTTGTTTTTGCATATATCCTAATTATATCAATAAGGGGCTGCAATATCAAATACCGCAATCTTGCGGAGTCCTTTGCAATTTTTATGATCAGGTCTTGTGGGCACTGATTCGTTGTTTAATAATATTTACGAATACTTTTATACTTTATTCTGTGTTTAATATTATTACCCAACGAAAATTTTAAACATGCACAGTTGGGAGGAGCGATAAAAAACTTCTTCGAAATTTTTTATCCCTGGGTGTGGATTAGTTATCTTTTTAGGTTATATTTAACTTAAAAAAAAATTGGCATTGTGCGATGACATCTTGAGGTTCCTTTTTGAATTTAAAATTTAAAGACTTTAATAAAAAAAACAAATTTTTACACTTTTTAAAATTAACGTTTTTTTTCAATTTCTTATATCTCTGGGTTCCCAATGGTTACATATAAATTAAATTAAATTAAATTAACAAACAAAAAAACAGTTTTGGGTAAAAAAAACTTCAGGTTTCTTTTTTAATTTAATATTTTAATGAAAAATACAAATTTTAAATTATGTTTAAACTCTAAAACCAAACTTAGATTAAATAAATAACTAAAATTACACTAATACCGCAAGTTTTTCTCGTGTCGAAACAAGTCGTAACTGGTTATTTTGGTGTGGAGGGGGGAGGCAGGAGGGCTTTTGTGCTTTACCGAATTAGTTTAAGCGCCGAGCCTAATTGCGTTAGATGTGTTGAAAATGCCTAAGTGCTCATTCATAATGGACGTAACCATAAGATGACCGTAAAACGTAAACATAATATCACCATAATTTGTACGTAACGATGAGTTGTGTTTATAATGAACGTATGTATATATTAATAAGGCGCGCATGTCCAAGTTCACTAAAATGGCAGCATTGGCAGATTTTGTCTAATTATTATGTCTTAAAACTTAAAAGCTTTAAGACATAATAATTATAATTATAAATATAAATTAACTTAAAACTATCAGTGTTATGGTTCTTTAGATTGTTTGTTCTGTAGATACACCAGAATACACTTGAAAAAGATCTGTCATCTGTTTGCATAGCTACTACCCTGATTGCTGCCAACAATGTTCTAGTGAAATCATGAAAATTACTAAAATTCACAGATAAGAAACCCGTAAAGTTGAGATGATTTCAACTTTACGTATTTTTTACGGTCACCCGTAAGATCTTATGTTCGAACGTAATACGTAAAAATTACGGCTATTCATTATAAACAGGCACACTGGTTTTGTTAATATTCAACTTTACGTTTTACGTATTTCTTACGGGCATCTTATGGTTACGTCCATTATGAATGAGCACTAAAACCCAAGTAAAATGTAAAATATTTTGAACACCAAGGGAACTTTGTAGCAACGTCCTTCCAACGGATTCCGATGTTTGTAATTGTGGTATCGTGAAAATTTCAAGGATAAAAGCAAGTGTTTTGGACACTTGTAAAAAAGTTCTTGTTCTGTTTTGAAAAAAGCTTTCCTTTCTATTATTTCAGACCAAAGAATAATTTAGAAAATAAAATACTACAATACTACAAAAGTATAAGGTGATTCTGCTTGAAAAAATTTCTCCGTGCAAATGTTTTACTTTTTATTCGTGTGGGTGTAAAATCAAAGTTCCTATAATGAAAGGAGCATTTTTAAAAGAGCAGAGGGGTGAAAAAAAGATAATGATCGGAAATATCGATACTAAAACCACCAAGAAAATGGCAAAGTCATTGGAAAGAAAGGAGTTGGAGAAAAAGAGATTTGAAGAAAAAATTAAAGACACAAATTCAGAACATATTGTTCAAAGTAAAAGTATAGAAAAAAAGACCAAATGGATGCTATCAATATGTCACTAGCATCAACGTCATCTAGAGTGCCTTCCGAAAAAATACTTATCTAATGTGGCAGAAGCATTGACAGAAGTGGACTCTCAGATAGAAATGCGTCTCTCCTGGTAAACGCTGTACTTAAATATTTTAATTTAGTAACTGACGAGGATCCTTCTTTATTCATCGACAGAAGTAAAATAAGAAGAGAAAGGAAACGAGGGAAAATTTGGTTATTATGAAAATTCGGCAACAAAAAGATGTTTCTGGAATCTACTTCCATGGAAGAAAAGGCAAGACGCTCTCAGTTGAAAGAAATGGATCTTCTTATCACAGTAAGCAAATTATTGAGGAACACATCAATACCAGGTTCTACTTATTTAGGTCATGTGACCCCTACTTGAGGAAGTGCCAGTAGTATTAAGACAAGCCTTTTTTAACTTTATTCAAGAGTATTTGGGTTAATATTTAAACAAATTTACGGCAGTGGGTTGTGACGGTACGGTAGTAAATACAGGCTTCACAAATGATGTTATAAAACAGTTAAAAGTTTCCCTAGGCAAAACCGGTCCATTGGTTTATATGCCTGTTGCACTGTAATGAACTTCCTCTTCGTCATTTAATTCATAAGATAGATGGAAAAACTAATGAACCAAGAGGCTTATAGGAAATAGTCCTATAGGAAACCAGCTTAGTTATTGTGAAAAGATGCCTGTTGTGCCATTTCAGATAATTAAACCTGACGTTGGATTGCCTCCAATAAATTTTAGCAATTTAAGTACAGACCAAAAGTACTTGTACGAAATGGTTCTGGCAATAGAAGAAGGCAAGGTTTTCCCCCAGTTTTCAGAAAAACAGCCAGGAAAAATGTACCATGCACGATGGTTAACAACAACAAACAGAAAATTAAGATTATATGTTACAATAGAAGAACCATCTTATGAATTAAATATATTAACCGAGTATGTTATTAAGGTATATGCCACAACCTGGTTTCTTGTAAAGTACAAGTCAGTCTGTAAGTATGGCCCTCAACATATATTTCATTTAATCCAAGCTTCTCGATATTTACCGACCAAATTCAAAGACATTGTAAATAAGGTTATCCAAAGAAATGCCGTTTTTGCTCATTCGGAAAATGTTTTAATTGCAATGCTGGGCGATGACAGAAAAAACATTATAGAGTTGGCCTTACGTCGAATTTTAAAATGCCGAGATTCCAAAACTAACCTCCAACTTCGTGATTTTAAAGTGCCAGAAGTGAACTTCAATGCTACCGATTATACAGAGCTAATTAATTGTCAATCAGATGAAGTCACAGAACCTCCATTGACAAAAAGTATCCCAGAAGCAGATATTAGAAAAATGGTTGTTAACATTCCCGATACCATACAAATTTTGAATTTTCCATGCCATACTCAGGCTGTGGAAAGATACATTAGGATGGTAACTGAGGCAT